CTCCTTCTCTGGAGATATTCAAGACCCGCCTGGACAAGGTCCTGTGCAGCCTGCTGTAGGTGACCCTGCTTCGGCAGGAGGGTTGGACTAGATGACCCACAGAGGTCCCTTCCAACCCCGAACATTCTGTGGTTCTGTTAACAGAGGTGTGAGTACATTGGAAGTGAGGGAGAAAAGAAAATATTGTAAAAAAGCAAAAGCTCAAACCAGCTTGATGTAAGAGATTTTCTGTGAGAATTCTTTAGGTGATATTATCATGATTTGGATCCCAACAATTTGCCTTTACGGAGGCTGTGACAGACTTACAGAAAAATAGTTTCCCAAAAGAAGGCAGTTCAGCAGTACTTTACAAAGCTCACGACGTGCACTTCTGAATGTTACTGCTTCTCTCTGAATGTGGGATGAACTGAGATCTTTGTTAATAACCAAAAAGGAAAAGGGTCTTCAGTCGGTCTGCATGGTGGAGCTCTGCTTCCTTTGGACCAGTTCACCAAAGATAAAAATCTGCCATTTCTGCTCATGGCATTGGCTCGACTGAACACATGAGTAATAATAATCTGTTGCTAGGAACAGACTTCAGTTTACATGTACAGGCCTCTATGGAGGGAAGAAAGTCTTCTGAGTCTCCAAGTGGGTCATAAATAATCAGTGGCACTTCAAAGGAGGAAAAGTAAAAACAAGCGGTTGGAGATGCCATGCGAAGATGCCTGTAATTCATATTGCAGTACCAGTGGAAAGCATGCAGCCAGTGTAACCGGGAAAACATGGGGCATGTGTCCGCAAAGGCAAAACCAATGAAGCAAGCATTTACTAACGGTGCGTTATATTCCGCTACCTCTAGCAGGGCTCGTTTGCAAAGTATGTGCTGCTTTCAGCTTTAAGGAGCGCACACCTGAGCTAATTTCATGCCGTACGGCTTTTCAAGGCTGGCTCACGGGGAGGGCCGGGGGGTGCATCTGTGCAGCAGGCTGCAGCACGGCGTGGGGCACGCAGGAGTTAGCTGTAAACTCGGAGACCGCAAACGGTCTTACCTGAGACGGTGTGGGAATCACACCAACTGGTTTACCTCGCTTCCCAATTAGTGTGTGCAGATGTTTCACAGAATTAACTTTAAATAATTAATGAAATATGCATTTTATCTTTTAACTGTAGTTACATATGTTGTTTTGAAAATGGCAGCAGTTTCACTGTAGAGCATACTGTATAACTGCAATTTTTTTTCATACTTGGAGCAGCTGATTTGCAGGGTTTGCAAACCATCCTGATCCAAACTGTGATGTTAAAGATATGAAATCCTTGCTAATGAATCCTCCAAATCCATCTGAAATGTTTTTTTTTTCCCTTTTCTTCTGAGACAAGAATGTCCTTATAAAGACCCTGCTTAAGAGGAGCATCTCTTAGATCTCATTGGGAGTTAAGCCACACTGGAGATGTAGTGTTTAAATCAGCGCTGTCTGTTCTCATGATAAAATCTCTGGAATTAGTATTTTCTGGTTAGTTCCTTGAGATTTCTAGTCCGCTACCTGCTCTGAGGTTTCTCTCTGTCAATATGCCTATGCCTGTGTGTTAATACCCAGTACGGTTTTTAATCTGCTGGCTAACTTCAGCTGAATTTGGGAAAGGAAGAGAGATTCCAAGGAAGTTAAGCTGATATAATGTGATATGACTGTGCTGATCTGATTTCCAGCTATGTTTTTAGGTGCCCATTGTGAGATGGGAAGGGAAGAAGAACTCTACCAATGCCTACTAGACGAAGGCCTGGTTTTGAGTCTTATGAGTGCCCTTATCACAGGAAAAGCTGATGGCTGAACTGTTTGAGCTGCAGGTTGAGCCCAGGTGGTCAGGAGTTTGCTCCTTTGGAGAACACCAGTGGAAAGCTTTACTCGAGGACTTCCATGGTGCACCTTTCTTGTGTGACTTCTCCCATGCTGAAGAAAAGATGAGCTTGCGTAACAGCTCTGGTGTGATTCACATAAGTTAATCAACAGGAAACAAATCCGTTGGAAACAAGGTCCCAGCATTCCTAGAACTCTCTCTTTGGTTCTCCGATACTTCACAGGTTATTTTACAGGTTATTCCAAGGTGTAGGCAGTTAAATGCTTTCCTGTATTAGTGTCAGACTCTCCAGAACAGAGAGAAAGACAAGGTAATTTTCTTCACTTTCAGTTTTATCCCTACTGAAAAGGCATAGTGTCATATGAAAGCATTTGATTGATTTTCAACACTATGGGTATATATTTCATAGTTGTCCAGTGTTTCATGGAAATAGAGGATTTGGTTTAGCTCTGCAGGTTTCGTGAGTTGTTATAAAAAAAAAAGAATTGACTTAAATATGGAGTAGAGAAGATGATCATTCCTAATGCCTGTGTAAAGCATTGCTGAGTAGTTTTAGCAATAGCTTGACAGTTTTAGATTCTTCAGAGGTTGATATGACGTAGTTACACTTTATATGCTTTATTTGAATGGAATTTGGGGGGTGGGTGATGGGGAGGGCAAAGGAACCAGCATATTGTCTCTATATAATCCCTTCTCAGACAATCTGTACCTTGTGCCTTTTAAAGAATACTAATCCTTGCAGGTATGTCCTCCGAGAGTGCGTGTGTGTCTCCCCGTCAAAGCAGCTGTGGAGTATTCTGTCGGGGCAGGGCAGGAATCGGAGCCAGGGCAATATGTGTGTGCGGTGTTGGATGGTGAACAGAGGGTTTCAGGGACGTGAAAGCTTTATCATAAACTCGCTTTGTATCAGCTGCGCACTTTTATAACCT